TACCCTATGAAGTACGATACTGTAAGGCTTCTCACATGCCTGAAAGATCAACATCTCTTAGATACTCCCACTGCAGTACACTTGATAATCCACATAGAACTATATGGAAGTGTTCGACGTGTCATGTGGGATTATGCTTGAATAAAGATAGAAACTGCTTCTCACTGTTTCACAAAAGATAACTTTTTTTAATTCTTTTTTGGAAGTGTACCTTAGTTCCTGGTGGTTAGCGTTGGTGACCACGTCCTGAAGGATAGCTACACATGTTTATTTGAGAGTACTTTGTTTTAGAGGTTTATTTGTACTATTTTTAACTCATTGTTCAATAAATTTTAGGAGTTTGTGAATTTTAATTAATTTCGGGCTCAAAGGGTTAATAAAGAAATACCTGCGACAAAATTAGAGCGACTCGTTTTGTATTTAGTTTCGCTAAAGTGTAGTTGGTCAAGTGTTGGATTGAAACAACAGAGAAAATTATTAGCAATGCATAGGGGAAAACATTATTGCGTAGATTTAAAAGAAAACATTTTTGAAGCTTATAAATCAGATCGCAAAAATTAATAAAAGAGCAATTTCATGTAAATAAACAAATGGTTGCAAGAACAATACAAAATATTGGTTGTTAACCTTCAGAGAGGTAGTCGGAAGAGAAAAAAAACTTCAACACAGTTGGTTAGGAGAATTAAGCGTTTAAGTCATGGCTATCTGCCAATCAAATTTTGGCTCAGATGGATGTTCCGGGAGTTTCATCTAACACTGTTCAGCGGCGATTAGTGCAGGCGGGGCTCCCTGCAAGGAGACCAGCTAGAAAACTCCATTTATAAAAAAAATGTGATTGCTAGGATGATGTTTGCACCACGTCAATGCCACTGGATAGCTAAGGACTGGAACAAGGTTTTGTTTAGTGACGAGTCTAAGTTTCATATTTTTGGAAGTGACGGAGTGCAGTTCGTAAATCGTCCAGCAAATAAAAGACTTGAAAATTGAGGGCACCATGGATGCTCTACGCCGAATGGGAAATGCCGCTAAAGTTTACATTCCAACATGATAATGACACCAAACATACTGCCAAACTTGTGAAGGAATGGTTTGGGGCAAATAAAATTCAAGTTTTAAAATGGCCACTGCAATCACCGGACTTGAACCCCACTGAAAATCTTTGGGAGATAATTGAGAAACAGATTCGAACCAAAATTATCAGCAATCGTGCTCAGTTATTTAAAGAGATTGATAATGCTTGGAAACTAATGGATCCAGCTATAATTTCCAATCTCATTGGGTCGATGCCAAATATACATATGTCAAAAAGTAATTGAGAACAAAGGGTACTGGACGAAGTATTAGTTTAGTTTCATTAATATAGGATACAAATGTATTTCAAGGATAAGTCTTTCTAATTTTGTCGCATATAGTTTTTTATATTTTTTTTTTGTTTTCTCTAATAAATCTTTGGAAACAACGTTTATGAATTTATTTTAGTATCATTTGAGACTACTTAATGACATAAATCTTTTAGCTCAATTACAAAAATTCAATATATTTTGCATTCCATAAAAGGTATAATTAATTTTGTCCGATACTAAGATGTTGATTTTCTTCATTTTTGACATTTTCCGCTACAAAAGGATGTTAGTACTGCTGCTCAATGATATCCCCACTAATTGTGAATACAGATTCTTTGTCATGATGAAGCAAACCAGTCTACTAACCGGATCAGACATTTAATCATTTCGGGGTATATCTGGCATTGCTCATATATTAAGCGACAACGGCGATTAACGTGCGTTTGAACTACTGATAGAGGCTTTCAACCAGTTATATGGGGCTAAGCAGCTTCTGGCGCGGTTAGTATTTGGATGGATAGCTGCTTCGATTCGCTCGAGAACTACACGCCACTAGTCCCAACCGATTGCTGCCATTCACTATTCTCAGTGATCGATTCCTGTGGTAGATGGCGCTTCGCCCTGCCTTATTTCGATAGATCGCACACATAGTTGCTAAGCTTTCGTTCGTTGACCGTGAGACCAAGCCGTAACAGTTCGGAATTTCTTCATTTTCAGCTAATACTTTTCCTCCATGGAAGTCGCGGCGCCGTTTGTTTAGGCTTACTGTTCGGGATTTCATCTAATTTTCAGTAAATATTCTGATATAATCTAGTTATCTCAGCATTTTCCCCAACAAGACGTACAATTTGGCAATAATACACATTATTCATTATATCTGATAGGGAATGAACATTTGTAAACTTTTCAAACAATACTCATAAACGCTAGAACTTTCATTTTATTAAAAAATAATGGAATTGCTAAGGATTTTCAAGGAAACGTATTGAAAAAACAACACAACACCTATATAGTTTACAAATTAAAAAACATCACTTACTACTGTATGTTTACTCAGTGACATTAGAAGTCTTACACCCAGAAAAAATAATTTCTTTAACTTGTCTTTCTGGCAACATAACGTATTTAAAACATGCTGTGGCGACAATGTCATCTTAGTTTTGTGTACCTTTGTTAAAATGTTATCTCTTAGTTTTTGGGAAGAAAGCAGCTTCTGAGACCTGAGTAGTATAGGTATTTTCAGTTATTGCCCTTTCATTTACTAGTATTAAGAATAAAATGCCTCGAGTTGGAAGACGTTCAAATTATCACCATGTTAGCGACTTTGGCAGGAGTAGAATTATTGCCTATCGAGATGTTATTGTTTCGTTCTTGATGTAAGACTACCTCATTGCCAAACATCAAGTTGAAGAAATCTTTTTTTCTGGGTGTCACACTTCTAATGTCACCGAGCATATTTTCATCGTTGCATTTTGTTCAAAGGATGGCCATTTCTAAAGACTTCTTCTATTTCTCTCGAAAGAACGAAACATTTCGATGTTTAGGCGCAAAAGTTTTGCCTTACCTTTATTTGGAGTTAATTAAAACCTTCTTTTGGGTATCTGATTACGTCTTAACCGCGCGAAATTAGCCAGTGCTGAACAACAATTTCAACTCTTATACAATATCAGAGCGCGATTGCCGCATAAAATAATCTGAATATGGTTTAACGTTATGTGCTTTGATTCTCTGGCAGTCCTGTATGGTATCCGTCATCGCGAAGTATAACGGATGCTTTACTTTCAATAATGTTCATCGAATGTATCTGCAGATGGGTCAAGGGCGGAACAGTTTGCTCATCTCTAGAAAAATATCCTTTATTTTGTTTTTTCTATGTCTGAAGGCAATCCGAAAGCTCATGGAAGGTGACAGAGAATTGCTGTTGCTAAAAGCCCGCGCATCAAAACCAACTTATCTTCCAGAGCAATGGAATGAGGGTAACCAAGACTACTCAAGGTCACCTGATAGACGGAGAGATAATTCTCCAGAGCCGATGGACAATGCTGTGCCAACCTATGTCTCTCCACCTCCTTCCTTTGACAGGAGTTTTAAACCTGCTAAAGTCAAAGAACCAGAAAAAGACGTAAGTTTTTATATATGAACTTACATTGATGAACATATTACACAAGAAGATGCCCAATTCAGATGAAAGCGGCGCTAAACAATTTATCCTTACAACTTACAACTATACTGCCATACTTAGGTAAAAGATAGTAAAGTTCATTTACTGCCTTTTTTAAATTGATTAGAATAAAAAATATATCATTGACAATGGAATAGTTATTTTCTCTCTTTACCAAATATTTCATAATTACATTTCCTAAGCAAAACAGCAGTAATTCAATTTATCAAAGCAAAAAATAATTACATTCCCTAAGCATAACAGCAGTAAATCAATTTATCAAACCAAAAAAGCAGTAGTTTTCAAACTATACTTTTTGATTTTCTATATGATACAGGTACTTACTTATACTTTTTACCCTTTACAACCTATTATGATGTTTACTTATTTAGTTTCTTATGCAATAATTCTATTATTTGTGAATAAGTATTTATCTTACTTTCGCTCCGAAAGAATAGTTTTGCAAAATATTCTTCCTTTAATTTAACATATCAGAAATGATGCAGCTAGATGCTAGTTTATTTATACAATTATTTTCAATGAATGTAAATTATTAAATCTACAGAGTGAACATAGTGATGTTCTAATGCTGGCATTCTTAGGGCGCTATTGACGTACGCCGCCCAACAAAAATGACGTAGAGATGACTTCATTATGACGGTCTAATGTCACACCCAATTGACGTCATTATATGTCGTTTAAAAGATCAAATACAAGGTCGATATGACGTCTATATGTCGTGGATATGACGTCTATCTGAGGTCGATATGACGTCTATGTGACCGTGCTTGATTGCAAACATTTTAGTAAAACTTGTTTATTATTATACAGAGAAGTTTCTAATAAATTTGCTATTTACGGGAATAAAATATGATGTAAGATGTCAATTTGAAATATCTGAACATGGAATATTATTATTGGAAAAGTCACATTAATAAGATATTTTTGGTCGAAGAATTCCTGATACTTTTTATAAATAACAATAAAGTTGTTATTGTATTTGGATATCTAGTTTACCTTACACTAAAAGCCTATATATTCTTCATAGGTAAGTGTTGATTTTTCAGTATTGCCTGTCATAAAAAAGACGTCAAAATGACTTTTAAAGGACGTCTTGTTGCCATAAAAAAATGGTCTCAATAAAGCCGCCATTTTTGGGTCAATGACGTTTCCGACCAAAAGTGACCGAATAATGACGTTATTTTGGCTTCATAATGTTCGATGGGTAATCATAATTTTTTAATTGAATTATTTGATGTTGAAAAGGTGGTGCTATTTATATGAAATTCAATATGAATAAATTATAAGAAAATAAAATAGGATTCTGTATTACTGCGGATTTCCTTTGAGAGAATAATAAAAATAGATTATGGAAACTACGAAAAAAGGCAGTAAATTTTGTTTTTGCAGAGTATAATTGCAGTAAATCACAAATCACTGCTTTTTGATTTACAACAGTAAAATAAGGAATTTCATTTATTTTAGGCCTCAACAACAGTTATAATCCGAAATCACATTTAAATGCCTCTCTCATGTACCTGCAATATTCATTCACTTTTGTTCTGTCGTCATAATATTATTTACTTAGTTCGACAAAAAATCCAGAATTATGAACTCAATTTACTCAGACTCAGATTTTTACAATTAACTTTCTTCTACCTACGGCAGTATACATCAGCGTAGTCACTTAGGAAATTTCTATTTTCGTCGTTCTGAGAATCAGAATTGTCATGAATCTACTTCTAATGACTAAGACCTACATGGCTGTGACGATGTATGCTAACGTCAAACTACAGCATAGGGTTTTGCATTTTCTTCGAAAATGCGTTGATATGAGTATTATCGATACAATAATCTCCATTTTTTCATTTTATTTTAGGTGAAGGGGCGAGGCTTCACGGGAATCCGAAATTACAAGAATTGCTGTTTTAAGAGCGCGATCTTACAATGTATGAAAACCTTGCCGTTCATAAAAGAGTACTTTGTGAATACAAACAGGTACTTAACCCTGAATCGAAGAGTACCTCCGGTATTCAATATATTGATGGGCGAGGTAAGATTTTCCTAGGCAAAACCTAAATACCAAAGTGCTGCAATTGTTATAGCAAGGTTCAACAGAATTTTGAACTAATTAAAATCGATAGAACCTTAAAAAGTTCTCTGTCATTTCGATAAGAGATAGCTGACTTCTCGTCGTTGTGAAAGAGGCTTGTAGTACTTTCATAAATTTGCACTATGCCGTATTCAAGTATCAGAAACTTAGGTCTATTGTGCTTTCTACAGGTGTTTGATAAGCTGTGGGAGGGTTGAGAAGATGATCCAAAAGTCTACAATCCCCAATTTATAAGGGATAAACTCAGCCGCTTGAACCCAATGTTTGAAAAAGGCTGGCATGAAGATGCGTTCGAGTCCTTCACATTTTTCTTCGGTCAACTAAGCGAGGATTGCATGGTCGAAATGCCCAGACCGGATGTTGGTTTAGTACTAGATTAGATTTTGTTCGTTGTTCCATCTGTATCCTGCTGATGAGTCGCTATAATGATAAAACACTGCCGTATATGGTTGGTTGGAGCGAGAAAAGCAGTGTTCACGATTAGGCCGCGATTAAATTCCTAGGTGTAAGACGTCAGATGTATACTTTTCACGGTGTCTGGTGTCAGTGTTACCAGTCCTAGTCTACCGATTTTAATGCGAAATCAAATCTACCGAAAAACCTCTTAAATGCTGGAATAGCATATTTCTGATATAATTCTACTATAAACTTGAGAAAAAGAGCCAAGAGCTGTCTGCCATCCTCAGCCTTTCACTATTTGATGATGATGAAGGGGGCTCTCTTCCATTTTCAAAAACACGTGGAGCTCAAGCAAGGCGCCATCTTTCTCCGGCAAGATTTTGTTGTTCACCGAAAAAATTCCTCGTTTCAACTAATATTGGAAATAACCTGAAATCTGAATTGAAAAAAAAATAGGTGGGGGGGGGGTTGTAGACAGGGTGGGGGAGGGTATATATCACTTTTTTGATGTTAGTACAAATATATTTATGAGGGCGGTTCAATAAGTACCCGTGTTATAAATGAACACAATTTTTTCTAGTATTTTTTATTTTTATTTTATAGTCCCCTTTTAGAAAGATACACTTTTCGAAATGTCCCTGCCATTATTCAACTCCTCCAAAAAATAGGATTTGTCGAACGCGAGCCATTTCTACGCGTTAGGGAACAAGAAAAAGCCGCAGGGGGCCAGATGGGGTGAATACGGGGATTGCAACAGCTCTTCATAACGCAATTCATGCATTTTGGCGACGACAACTCGGATGAATGACCTGTTGCGTTATCGTAGAGAATCAGCACCTTATTTTTCGCTAAATGCGGCCGTTTTTCGTCGAAGCGATCCAATAACTTACTGTAGTATTGTCCAGTGATCGTTCTTCCTTATACAAAAAAAATACATGAGGATGACGCCGTTTGCATCCCAAAAAATCCTTGCCATGACCTTTCCGGCCGTTGGGACCGTCTTCGCCGTCTTTGGAGCAGATTCACCGGGAGAAATCCATTGTTTTGATTGTTGCTTAGCTTCTGGTGTGTAATGACGAATCCAGGTTTCATGAACGGTGACAACTCGACGCAAAAACTCCTTCGGTTTTCGCTTAAATTGCTCCAAACACTGCTTCGAAGGTAACACCCGCATCCGTTGTTGTCCACCGTGAGCAAACGCGGCTGACAATTTTTTCATCTCCAACTTATATTTATTGCCGCCGTTCCAGTCGACACACCTGCGGCATCTGCTACTTCGGACCTTTTCGTTCGTCGATTAGATCATGTCGAGGACATTTTGAGTGATTTCCTCGGTAAGCACGTATGCCGTGCGTCCTGGTCGCTCCTCATCAAAAACGGATGTTCGCCCATGTTCAAATTCGTTGAACCAATATCTAACTGTGGTCATAGATGGCAAAGTGTCCCCATAACCAGCATCCTACTTTGATTTTATCTCATTTTTTCCCATCCAACAACTGTAAGCCTTCCTTTCCGCAAAAAGTCCAGAAAAGATGGAATGCAATGAAGATTCCAACTTTTCTGCACAATCACAGAAAGGGGGTTACCATTAGTTTCCGGTAGCTCAGTCGGTGGCATGAAGACATCTACAGGCGTGTAGCTGTGTGTCGACCATGGCATGGCTAGAGGATAGAAGAACAAACAGAACACAAAAATTTAACAGATTTTATTTAACAAAAAAGCATTTTCATTACATTACAATTTTAAAGAACAAAATAAGTTTTAAATCTTTGGCGCTGCTATAAAACTATACACTTATCTTTCGCTGGTCCATTTTGACTGGACTGAAGCGAGGATGGCCAGGTGCTTGAAGTGGAGGCCCCAGTTATGAGGGGTGACCACACATTTAGTGGCTTCAAAACCAGTTGTAGGCGAAGTTGAACTTAAAGGTGATGGCGCTGCCAAGGCACATGCATGGGTGAAGTGATAGGCCAAGCACTGCAAAGCCAAAGACTACATGAGTTGCAAAGGCAAAAGTCAAAGACAAAGGCAAAGGGAAAGGGAAAGGGGGTGGCCCCAATCTGGAAAAGAACCGTGTGCATTAGCAACGTGCCCTAATGGCCAAGGCATTTCCAATCTCAGTCTGCCTCAAAAGAGAACCAACGATTTTCTAGGTTAGAATTACATTACATAGTTTGATAGAATCAAACCGAAAATTGGAAATACCTTTCATAAAATAAAATCATGAAATAGCAAAAAAAAGCGTAAAACAAGATGGTGGTCATCAAAAATTTCTCCACATGCTTCTGATATAAAAACACAAATATCGAATATTCATAATCAACGTACTCATAATTTCACTGAACTATGATGAATACATATACGCAAACAGAGGTAAAATCGATGTGGATCGATTTCTACCTCGATTTGATTAAAGTTATGGCGAATGATCGAAGTAGTCGAAAATGACGTTCGATGGATATTTTAAAATCGTACAAGAAATAAACCACTTACATATCGACTATCTATAAACTACAGGCAGACCCAGCAATAAAACTGTATAGTATTATAAAACTCACCATTTTGTCTTATTCGGACACACATTCTACAAAATTCTAGCACATGGTGCTATATGACCTCATGCTACAGAGAACAAAATTCTTAGCTCTTGCTAGATCGGCGGCTCAAGTCATAAAGAAGCGCGAGGAAGATCGCAGATCAGGAACTCCGCATCAAGCGCGCTCCAAGTGGGAATGTTTCCAAGTAAAAAAGCTAGAGATGGGATTAATGAAATGATAATCGAGAAGTGATTTAATAAATACGATCGGACGGTGAAACCGTTACACTCGCCCCTACTTAACCAGAAAAAAATTCGAAGAAGCATTCAAGTATTTTTTTTTAACAAGGAAATTGAAACTTATCACGGAAGGACAAATGTACAACCATTCGACCAGATAACAAGTAGCAAAAGTAAGGTAGAAACAGAAATGTTAGAAGAGAATTGGAAGAAAAAGGGATAGCCTCAAGTCTACCAAACAAGAGGGATGGTTATAGCACCAACTCGCTGAAAAGTACAGTGAAGTTGCACTTAAAAAAAATATCATCATATGATG